TTGTAGAATGTTTTACACCTGTTCTCTGATGGCTTCAACCCTGGCACTAGGGAGGCAAGAGACCATATTAGAGTCACGTCTTTGGTTGCAGAAACCCCTGTCTACTCCTTTCACCACTGTGTCCCCAATGACAACTGCATTGACACTCTTCCCTGTGCATCGTGGAGTCCTGTAGCTCAGTGGTTAGAGCACTCGCTTTGCAAGTGAAAGACCCGAGTTCAATTCCAGGCAGGGCGAAACCTTGGGCAAGTTTCCTTACTCCACACAGAGCCTAATAATAATCCCTCCAAAACCAAAAACAATAATAAAATTGGTCATTTTCAATCTATGACTGTGGGACATTGCTATGCGAAATTGGCTACTATGTTCGCCCACAAATATACGGTCAATTCACTTTACAGTGTGTTCTGTGAGAGTTTGTGAGAGAATTTGGTGAGAGTGGGCATTAGGTGCAGTGGGGGAAGTGGGGGCAGGCTATATATCTTTGTATCTATATAAAGTTTGTGAAGATGGTGTGGCAGGTAAACTGCGTGGTCTGTCACATGTGGGAGTCAATGGAGGGCGCCTTAAGTCCGGGCGACTTTGTCCAGCTGAGAGTAGCTGAGCTGGAGTCTCAGGTGGAGACGCTGTGCAGCATTAGGGATGGAGAAAACTTCCTGGACAGCTTTATCCTGGAGCCGGACACTCCCCTGAGTCCCAAGGAAGAAGAATGTAGCAGCGACGGACATGACTGGATGACAGTCAGGCGGGCAGGCAAGCGTTCCCGAAAGAGAGGGGCTGAAGAATCCCAGACTTTAGCCTTGTGTGACAGGTATGAAATATTGGCAACCTGTGTGGGCAAGTAAATCTGCGAGGAAGATGGGCAAACTGACCCCAACACCCCTGTGCAGGAGCTTAAAAATGTAATTCTTATTGGGGATGAGACAGTCGGGAGGACTGATACAGTTTTCTGTAGCCGTAGCAGGGAGACAAGAAGACTCTGTTGTCTTCCTGGGGCCAGGGTGAAGGATGTCACCGCCGGGCTGGAGATAAATTTGAGGCATGAGGGAGAGAATCCAATCGTAATGGTACATATAGGGATCAATGACATTGGTAGGACCAGTAGGGACGAGTTAAGGTGCGAGTTCCGGGAATTGGGAATTAAACTAAGGAACAGAACTTCCAAAGTGATGATATCGGGACTGTTACCTGAGCCAGGAGCTAATTGGTACAGGCAAAAGAAGATCATAGATCTGAATGCCGGGCTAAAAGAGTGGTGCGGAGAGCAGGAATTCCAATTCATGGGCCACTGGCACGAGTATTGGGGAAGATGGGAGCTTTTCCAAAGGAATGGGCTCCACCTAAATAGGGCTGGGACAAATGTCCTGGCTACGCGAATAAATAGGGAGGTAGAAAGGGGGGGAGGTAAAAACATAGTAAAGTATAGTCCACCACAGTTAAACTTGAGATCAACAAAAGCAAGAGAGCAGATTAACAAGGGAGAAGAGCAAAGTGTGTCAAGCCGGGAAAGGAAGTACAGTGATAGAGTGCTGGTGAATAGGGTTAATAGCCGGAAGTCAGAATTAAGGGCTATATCTGAATGCACGAAGCATTCGTAACAAGATAGATGAATTAGTTGCACAAATAGAGACAAACCGGTATGATCTAGTAGCCATCACCGAGACATGGTTACAGGGTGATCAGGGATGGGAACTGAATATTCCCGGCTACGTGGTATATAGGAAAGATAGGCGATGTGGTAAACGAGGAGGGGGAGTGGCCCTGCTAATAAAGGATGGGATAAAAACAGTAGAGAGGAAAGATTTTAAATCTGAAAAGCAAGATGTAGAGTCACGTAACTTCAAGGGGCAGAAAACTATAGTGGGAGTAGTTTATAGACCCCTAAACAGTGGTCAAAGTATCGCTCAAGGTATAAATCAAAAGATTAGTGGAGCATGTAGCAAAGGAAAGACACTAATTGTGGGTGATTTTAACCTGCACATAGACTGGGACAACCAAATTGGGAAAGGTAACATAGAAGAGGAGTTTATAGAATGTATTAGAGATAATTTTCTAGATCAATATGCTGAGGAGCCGACCAGGGAACAAGCCATATTAGACCTTGTTTTGTGTAATGAAACAGGGCTGATCAGCAAACTGGAACTTAAGGCTCCTCTTGGGCAAAGCGATCATAATATGATGGAATTTAGCGTTAAGTTAGAGAGGGAAGTAGTTAAGTCTGAAGCAAAAGTCTTCAATTTAAATCGAGCCAACTTTGCTGGTATGAGAGAGGATTTAGCCAGAATAAACTGGGAGACTAAACTTAAAGATTTGACAAGAGACCAGCAATGGCAGACATTCAGACATTCAAGGAGATAGTGCAAAATTCCCAACGAGCACATATTCCTTTGAGGAATAAGAATGCCATGGGAAAGGTGGTGCAGCCATGGCTAACTAGAGCAGTTAGGGAAAGTATCAAATCAAAAGAAAAAGCCTATAAAACAGCGAAGATGAGTAGTAAACCCGAGGATTGGGAGAACTTTAGGGAACAACAGAGGAGGACCAAAAAATTGATCAAGAGGGAGAAAATAGATTACGAGGGCAAACTAGCAAAGAACATAAAAACAGACTCCAAGAGTTTTTACAAATATATAAAGAGGAAAAGGCTAGCGAGGGTGAATGTGGGTCCATTACAGGCAGAGACCGGAGGAATTATAATAGGGGACAAAGACATGGCAGAGTCATTAAACAAGTATTTTTCTACAGTCTTCACCGTAGAAGACACTGGAAACATACCAAAAATAGAGGACCAAGAAGACAATGTTAGCGAGCAACTTAGGGAGATTAACATTAGTAAAGAGATGGTTCTAGGTAAATTGTCGGGTCTTAAAACCGATAAATCCCCTGGACCGGATGGCCTGCATCCGAGAGTTTTAAAGGAGGTGGCTACTGAGATAGTGGATGGCATGTCTATAATCTTCCAAAAGTCTGTGGATACTGGAAAAGTTCCCATTGATTGGAAGATTGCAAACGTAACTCCACTATTTAAGAAGGGTGGGAGAGAAAATAGGGAAAACTATAGACCAGTTAGTTTGACGTCAGTTGTAGGGAAAATTCTTGAGTCCTTAATAAAAGACGTAGTTATGGGATACCTGGAAGACCATAAAAAGATTAGGCAGAGTCAACATGGCTTTACAAAAGGGAAGTCATGCTTGACTAACCTTTTAGAATTTTTTGAGGATGTATCCAGCAGGTTGGATAAGGGGGAACCAGTAGATGTGGTATATTTGGATTTTAGGAAGGCATTTGACAAGGTGCCACACAAAAGGCTGTTACTCAAGATCAAGGCCCACGGGATTAATGGGAAAATATTAACATGGATAGAAGAGTGGCTATCGGGTAGAAAGCAGAGAGTAGTGATAAACGGATCATTCTCGAATTGGCAGGAGATGTAACTAGTGGAGTGCCACAAGGATCAGTGCTTGGGCCTCAGCTATTTACCATTTACATCAATGATCTGGACGAGGACATTGAATGTAATGTGTCTAAATTCGCGGATGATACTAAACTCGGTAGCAGAGTGAGCTCTCAGGATGATGCAAAAAGATTGCAACAAGATATAGATAGGCGAGGGGAGTGGGCAAGTAGGTGGCAGATGGAATTCAATGTTAGCAAGTGTGAAATTATTCACCTCGGTAGCAAGAATAAAAGAACAGATTATTTTCTGGAAGGGGAGAAGTTAGATAGTGTTAGTATTCAAAGGGATTTGGGTGTCCTTGTACACCAGTCCCAAAAAGTTAGTTTGCAGGTGCAGCAGCAACTAAGAAGGCGAACGGCAGTTAGCGTTCATTGCAAAAGGTTTAGAATATAAGAGTAGGGAAGTCTTGCTGCAACTGTATAGGGCTTTGGTGAGACCGCACCGAGAGTATTGTGTGCAGTTTTGGTCTCCTTATTTAAAAAAGGACATACTTGCCCTCGAGGGGGTGCAGCGTAGATTCACTCGGTTAGTTCCTGGGATGAGGGGACTGACCTATGAGGAGAGGCTGAATAAACCAGGGCTGTATTCTCTAGAGTACAGAAGAATTAGGGGGATCTTATTGAAACTTATAAGATTCTTAAAGAGCTGATAAAGTAGACACAGAGGGTCTGTTTCCCCGGTGGGAGAATCTATAACCAGGGGTCACAGTCTTAAAATTAAAGGTCAGCCTTTAGAACAGAGTTGAGGAAACATTTCTTCACTCAGAGGGTAGTGAACTTATGGAATTCACTATCCCAGAAGGCTGTAGATGCTCAGTCCTTGAACATTTTCAAGGCTGAGACTGATAGATTCTTGAAAAATAGAGGGATTAGGGGATATGGGGATAGGGCAGGTAATCAGAGTTAGGGGAGAAGATCATCCATGATCTTATTGAATGGCGGAGCAGGCACGAAGGGCCGAATGGCCTTCTCCTGGTCTAATTCTTATGTTCTTATGTCTCTCTGTGTGTCTGTCTAACCAATTGACTTAGAGACATGATTTGTACTTCATTGGAAAGGTCTCCCAACAGGTTTCCTCCCACAGGAGTCTTCCCAGAGTCCTACCAACAGGAGTTCTCCCACAGGAGTCTTCCCAAAAGGATATGTGTGCAAATATGTGAACAATGGATGCCAACAAGTTCAATAATACATTTTCTTAATCTTAAGGGATGAAGAAGTGAAGATGAAGCCTTTCAATGAACATATATAAGCGTCAGTGAATTAAAATGTAACTTGCACACATGTAAGATTTTAATTATTTCTGATAATAGGATGCCATTGAGATGTTGCTGTAGGAATTCTCCCGATGGGAACATTTGCACTTTGGGAGCTTTTTGCGGAGCAGTTTGTGGCTTATGTTAATTGAATTGTTTTTTGCAGCGGGAGGGGTTGGTGTTGACCATTCCCTGTTCTCACAGCTGTTCCCATCAGATGGGATTTACAGACGTCAGTTCCCAGAGCTGTTGCCATGGTTTCCGGGATCACGTGAGGTTGGAGTCGGTGCGAGTGATTGGGAATCTCACACTGACATTCAGGAGAAACATGGGATCGGGTCCCGATCATTGCACTCACCGCAGCGTCAGTGTTGCTTTCGGGTCGGATGTTTAGGCGCAGTTCGGGACAGTGTCACTGAGTGTGAGAGTCAGTGTGTAAGTGAGTGTGAGAGTAAGTGAGTGTGTGTGAGTGTGTAAGTGAGTGTGAGTGTGAGGCAGGGGATGAGCACTGAGGTTCCCTGTGAGCTCCCGGAGCTGCTGCAGAGCTTCACTGTGGCGGCGCTCAGACACCGACCTCGGGATTTGCTGCACTTCGCGGTTCAGTATTTCTCGCAGTTACTGAGAAACCGAAATGACGGCGACTCCGCGTCCGGAGTCCAAACCGTGAACCGCGAGGAACCGATGCAGACGGACTCCGAGACCAGTGAGGAGGAGCTTGAAGGTACAATCTCCCGGGGCTGAGGATAAGGAGGGAGTGGGGGGAGGGGGCGCTGGGGGAGGGGGCGCTGGGGGAGGGGGGGCGCTGGGGGAGGGGGGGCGCTGGGGGAGGGGGGGCGCTGGGGGGGGGGCGCTGGGGGAGGGGGGGCGCTGGGGGAGGGGGGGGGGGGCGCTGGGGGAGGAGGGGGCGCTGGGGGGCGTGGGGGGAAGGGGCGCTGGGGGCAGTGGTGGGGGAAGGGGCGCTGTGGGAGGGGGGGGGGGCTCTGGGGGAAGGGGGATAAGGGAGGGACTGCTCTTGGTTATCTTTCCTCCTGTTCCTTCACATTCTTCTGTCAGGATCCTGGAGTGAACTGAAAGTGAAATATGACTAAACATAAACTGATCAAATAACAAAGCTGTTGTTGGAGTATTAGAGACGTAAATACATGTTTAATTGGAGACAACTTGTCCATTATAGAGACTATTGCTGATGACACTTTGCAGGGTCCATGTGACAGACCACATTGTATGTTGGTTTGCTTTTAATTCCAATAACAGGTTATCATCGTCACAGCCGCTCCCCTCAATGATATGTCCTGGGTTTCCCACGTGTAGGTTGTGGAGTCTGTAAAGAGAAGGTAAAGCTACGGACATTTGTTTCCAAGATTATTCCTTCAGAGTGAGTGCACTGACACCCTGGAGATTGGGTCTGAATATCACAAAATAGTCACCACCGTTCTTTTATAAATGCAAACAGGCATTTTGCCAGAAACGTCTAACTATTCCTGTCGAAGACCAAAATAAACCCACATGTTCTGTCATAAATAAGTTGTTTGTGGAAAACAGATACTTAGTGTAATGAAAATGTTTTTTTATTTTATTGTGTGATATAAACACATGGGAAAGTAGATAAATTGTACAGTAATAATGACAGGAGAGGCTTTTGAATATGAATTAATTTTGTCCGCATAATTTTGAATCGTTACACGAGAATGTGACCCAGAGACAAATCTATACAATCTAATTATGATTTACTAAAATTGTCTCCCCATCAATTTAACCATTGTTTAGTCGTTTAAGCATTCTGAGATACTGCCCGGGTAAAGGGCGATATATAAATGTGCAAGTTGTTATTGTTCATCACTGCATATCCTCCCTAAAAGTGAGTTTTATATGTTGAGGATATTTCCAATCTCAGACCAGTACAGTGAAATTGATTATTGGTGTTTTGATAATAATTGGTACATACATCAAGGCAGTGTGGAATATTGCATTAATTTCTATATGCAAATAAGAGCCAACTTCATAACCCACAAATTATGTTAGCCACACAGAAAGAACTTGTTAATTCTAGTAGATCAAAATATCTTATTATAACATAATAATAATCCTTGCATTTGATATAGCGCTTCACAAAACATACTGTAAGTGAATTGTGGGTGAAACGTGGCAACCAATTGCACACAGCAGCATCCCACAAACAGTCTTGGATTGAAAATGACCAATTTATTATTGTTTTGTTGGAGGGATTATTATTAGGCTTTGTGTGGAGTACGGAAACTTGCCCAAGGTTTCGCCCTCTGTCTGGAATTGAACCCAGGTCTCTCGCTTGTAAGGCGAGTGCTCTTAACCACTGAGCTACAGTACTCCACTTTATGGGTGGAGGTAAGCAGTGTTTCTTTGGGATTGAAGTGAGATGTTGCATGTTTGGCAAAAACAGTTTGGCCCAAAGTCGTCCAAGTACAATAAAAATAAACCTAAAATGCTAATCGTTAAGTCACAAGCTGCATTCCATCAGTCGGCCAATATACCAAGTACTTGTCCCTGTTTGACCCTCCTTTAACTTGCAGTAGTCTGACTCCTCAAAGAGTTTTAGAAGTGCAGACACTTACGTTAAGCCAAAGTTTTGACGGACAAGTAGAGTCAAACCTATCAGAAGTTCCTATTACTTATATTTGTGCAGTAGTTAAATATTTGTTTCATGAAAGGGAGAATGTTTTGGTGAAAAATTACAAAAAAAATCATCTTCCTGTTGCAGGATATGGCAGGGACTCCATCAGGGGAAGAAAGTAAAGCCCCAACTTCAAAATGGAAAGTGTTATGTTAACAAAATAGATTTTGATAGTTTCCAGAGTACACATGGGCTGAAGTGTGCCATTAAGTAGAAACTCATTGAAGGATTGAGATTATGTTAGAGAAGCTCAAGGGGTTTATTATACACCACTAAATTAGAAGGGGTACTACTGCCTTGGAGCATATAGTGCTCAGTGATCAAGAAAACTGATAGACATATAGTGACATTGTTTTTGTTTTGCAGTAAACACAACTGGAAACATATATTGGCCGGGTCTGTTGGAATGAGGCTTGTGACTTAATGAATAGTGTTTTAGGTTTATTTTTATTGTACTGACTAAATATATAAGATATGTCATAACTTCTATATATTTGAAAACTGTATCATAATCTTGGGATTCAGTTAGTTTCAACTGTAGCTGCTTTAGCCGATTTAACAGTTAATGTGAATAAGATTATATCAGTCCATTCTGACTGTCTCATAGTTAAATGTAATTACTGTAGTTGACTGTCTACAGTTTGCTCATTAAAGTAGCTTAAAACTGCAAAGAAGATGGGAAACATCATGTGGCCTTCGCATCATTGTTACTTTGCTGGAAGTGTGATTGAATCCTGGTGATTTCCTTGATTGAAAACATACATACCTGTAAGAGATATACATCTATAAAACATGGAACTCCTTCACTTTCAATCCGAGATGGTACAGATTTAGATTTTTGTGGACATGTTTGTTGTCTAAAACTGGAAGGCACTTGGGTAACTGTTAACTTTTACTTGAACACAAATGTTGCACCATGGTGACCACTGAAGATTTCCTTAAAAGGATAATTGCTAAATTTGGGATTTTAGAAAAAAAATTGGATGGTAGCCCTTTGCTTTTTCTAGTGGGAAAGTTATTTGTCATTAAGCCAATAGTAAAACTGACATTAAACAATTCAAAGCTAAATTCCAGAGCTTCTTGTTTTTGTTCAACAGCATGTTAAAATATACAAACAAAAATTAGCTGTAATATAATCAGTTTAGTCACTGAGCTCATGTCCAACACCAATATCAATATCGCCTCCAAAATGTCAATAATTGTTGGTGAAAGATTGCGACGCAGGATCACAGCTGTACTTTCTGGCTTGAGGGCACAATCTGTTCTTGGCATTAACTTACCTTCAAAGGTTGATAAAGCGTCAAACTCTCATCTGAAATAAATTAGTATTCAATCTAGTCAGTGCAGCCAATACTGCAGTCTTGATTGTCAAACCACAATGTTTGTGGGATTTCACAATGTATTTTCCACTGTTTTCCAGAGTTATCTAAAATATCCCAAATATCTATTCAATCTTAAATTTTTGCATTACCAACTTCAATTTTTTTTCTTTGCACATTATCTTTTTAAGTGCCTGTGGGGGGGGGGGGGGGTGGCGGTTGTGTGCGTGTCTATGTGTGTGGAGTGGTTGTCTGTGTGTGTATGTCTGTTTGTATCTGTGTGGTTGTGTGTAGGTGTGTGGTTGTCTGTGTGGGCATGTGTGTGTCTTTGTGGGTGGGTGTGTTTGTATGTGTGTGTGTGTGTGGTGGGGATAGTATACATGCAGCTGCTCCCCCTCGAATCCTGAATGCTTAAGAATTTCCATTTTCAGTCCATGATTAAGAAGCCCATAAAAGCAGAATGGTGTTTGCCAGAACTGGAGTTCACGTTCTTCTCTTAAAGGAAGAGAAACCCTGGAGATGACAGGCAATGGTTAGCAGAAGCCAAGACATAAGGGATCCTAAAATGAGTGTTGGAGGTACGATTGGAATTTACAATCTTAAACCTTGCAGTTTGTCCAACTAGGACAACCTGCTTGTTAGGGTTTGTGAACCCCTTCATCACTGAGTCAGACTTGGATCCAGTCACAGTGAGTCCTGCAAACATGTCTGGCACAGCGAGTGCCACAGAAAATTCTCTCCCTTCACCTACAGATAACAGAGATTCCCAATGATTGTAAGACAACAGTGTGAATGATTGTAAGCACAAATATGGAAAGTCAAAATGTCACATTGGTGCAGCCAGTTTGTTTCTTCTCAAAGTTTGGGTTAGAGGAGCAGAATGGGTTCAATGGCCATCTGTACCTTTCTTGTGACCTCTATCTCCATTGTGAATTTCACCCCACCCCTATTCACTAGTCCCTGTTTAATCAGCTTTTAGGCTCATTTTGATTTAATTTCTTCAAGATTTCTTCAAGATGTGAGGATTGGGTGGGGGAGGGGCAGTGAGGGGGTGGGTTGGTGCAGCAGTGAGTGGGGGCAGTGAGGGGGGGAAATGGTGGGGGCAGAGAGATGGATTCAGTGAGATGAGGGGTAAATGAGATGGAGGCAATGAGATGGGGGGGACAGGGAGGTGGGGGACAGGGAGGTGGGGGAATGAGGGGGGGCAGTGAAGGGGGGAATGAGGGGGGGGAGTGATGTGGCGGTGAGGAAGGGGGCAATGAGTGGGGGGCAGTGAGGGGCGGCCCAGAGCTGTCAATCACTGCTGTGTCAACAGGGACGTGACCAATGGGAGGGAAGGGAAGAGGCGGAGTCAGTGAAAATGAGTGAAATTAATGTTTTAATGATAATGAATAAGTTTGGACACCAGTTAACTTGAACAAAACGCTCTGCCCTGACGTGTCCAAATTATGCGAGTTCAGTTGTACTGTCGTCTGGATCTCCAGTGATTTTTCATTATCTGCTCATTTCAATTTTCACTCATTATGACTGAGATTCCACTATAAATTGCTAATTGAAAGAACTGTAGAAGCATCTTGTCTTATGTTAAGGTTTATAGCCGTCAAGCTTGGCCTGGCCTCATGTGTCCTGTTTAAAAAAAATTTAGCCAAATCTTTCTAAATTATTTATAGTAATACTGGTATAAAGTCACATAAATGAAGCTAAAAGGCCTCCAGAACAGAATAATAATTAGAGTGGCTCACACCGGGATAGCAATTGATGTTTGGTTTTGTTCACTATCATTTTTAATTGTCTTGAATAGAGAATTACAGCATCTGCAGTTTGCAATCTATGTGGAAATTCATCATGTGCAGATTATCATTCACATGTATTTGCTGATACTTGAGGGATGTCATAGAGACTGAAGATCAATTTGTGTGGAATAATAAACATCTTAAAAACCAATTGTGATTATGTCTTTGATGTTCTATTAATTTCAGACCAGGGGAAGCAGCAGCAGGGAGGGAGGGCTCGGCCGTCACTGACCCTGGAGATGGAGTCAGCTATTTGCCAAGGTCCCTCACATGAGGGCTTGGATTAGCACCTGGTGCTGAGTAAGCCTGGTACATAGCAATGGACTTGGACCGTGAGAACATCAAGGTGGCTGACACATCACAAGCCATCCTGTAAAGGTCCTCCCACCATCCTGAAGGCAGATGCCAGCCAGATAGCTGATGAGGAAACTCTGAGGCTTTGGATGACAGCTGCTGGAAGGCATTACCTAGAGTCCAAGTTCGCGACACACATTCGTACATCCAGTGCCTGGACTCCACCTTGATTGGCTGCAGAGAAGCAAGACGCTGCTGCTTAAACTCTGGTCACTCAACTCCCCCTTCTCTCCCCCTGCTGGCCGACATGGTCAAACAGTCTCTCTCCTCAAGCTCAGTTCCACTCCCCCAGAAACGGTGTTATCACACCGTTCCTCAAAAAAAACACCTTTGATTCCTCTAATTTCTCACACTGCCATCCCACCTCCAACCTACCCTTCCTGGCTAAAGTCCTGGAATGCTTTGTTGCAGGTCAACTTCGGTCACACCTCTCCCTCCACTCCCTCCTCGAACCCTTGCAGTCTGATTTTCACCCTCTGCCCACAGCACAGAGATTGCGCTTGTCGAAGTCACAAACGATGTCCTCGCTATCTGTGACCAGGGCTCCCTCTGCCTCCTTGTCCTCCTGGATCTCTCTGCCGTGTTCGACACAGTCAACCACCCTATCCTCCTCCACCGCCTCTCCTCCCTCATCCACCTCAGTGGGACCCCACTTGCATGGTTCGAGTCCTACTTAACCAATCGTCTCCATTTCATCTTGGCAAATGGTTTCTCCTCCCGTCCCCACCCGGTCACCTGTAGGGTTCCCCAGGGCTCCATCTTTGGCCCTCTTCTTTTCCTTATCTATATTCTCCCTCTGGGCAATGTCATCCGCAGACACGGGGGAAACTTCCACTGTATGCGGATGACACACAAATCTACTTTGCCCCCTCTAGTACCAACTCCAGGTCTGCCGAGGTTCTATTAGCTTGTCTAGCAGCCATCAGGGCCTGAATGAGTGCAAACTTTCTGCAGCTAAATGGAGATAAGATGGAAGCCATACTCCTTTGCTCCCGTCAACGCCTTCACTTCTGCGGATCTTTAACCTCCCTGGGCTCTCCCTCACACTAACTGAAACAGTGCCCAATCTAGGCATCAGCTTTGAATCCCAGCTGTCCTTCAACATCGGGTCCCTGATCAGAACCGTCTTCTTCCACCTCTGCCAAATTGCCCACCTCCGACTGTACCTTACCCCAAATGCAGCCAAAACCCTTGTGCATGCATTTGTCACCTCCCACCTGGATTACTTCAACGCACTCCTCGCTGGTCTCCTCAGCTCCTCTATTCAAAAGATCAGCTCATTCAGAACTCTGCCGCCCGCATACTGACCCGGATCAAACTCCGTACCCACATCTCACCAGTTCTGGCCCAGGCTCCACTGGCTCCCCATCACCGAATGGTCCACTTCAAGATCATCACAGTCGTGTTCAAATTCCTTCACTCCCTGGCATCTCCCTCCCTCTCCGACCTCCTCACTCCCCAATCCATCACCCGGCACCTCCACTCGACTGGCACTGGCTCCTGCTCATCCCTCGCACCCTCCGCCCCACCATCGGAGGTCATGCTTTCAACCGCTACGCCCTGAAACATTCTCCCTCAATCCCTCTGCTTTTGTCCCCTCTCTCCCCTTTATCAAATATTGCCTCAAGCCTTCCTTTTCGACCATGCTCACATCCACCGCCCCCTCCCCCCAGCTCAGAGTCAGACTCCACCACTGTTATGCACTCTGAGATGCTGCCCTGCATGGAGGGGCCCTATATCAGTGCAAGTTGTTGTTGTATCAGTCTAGTTATTTTCATTGAGGTATAGCATATTAGGCATGCTCCACACTGGGTCCTGTCGACCCCATTTAGAACACATTTTTAACTCAGTGGACAAAATGGCCACCAGTCAGCAAGTGGTCGGGTCACCACTGAAGTCTGTGCAGGAATTGCGGCTGACATCACTTCCTGCTGTGCCGAAGAACTTTTTTTTCTGCTCTGCATAAAATCTATGTTGGAATGACATTAATGTGTTTCTGCAGAGCATAATATTAAAGGGTTTTATCACAGACTATTTACACCTTACAGCAGTTGTCGTTTTCATCTATTCCTTTGTTAGAGTTTCTGATTTTTCTTTTGCTTTTCTTTGACCTTTTTAAAGATATATTATTCCGAATGCAAGATCTTACACACTGAATATTCAGCTTAAACTGGAGAGATAGCAGGACATAGTTGCCTGATTCTAGATTTGACCACTTTTATTCTAGAATAGGAAGGATACTTATATGATTATGTATAATATTTTTATGGCATTGAATTGAGGCCAATCTATTTCATAACTTATAACTAAAATCAGTAATTTTGTATAGTTTTTTTTAACTTGCTTTATTCATAAACTAAATATTTCTTACATGCATCTGTCTACATGTCACCGTGACCTTAATCTTGTGATGGTGGCAGTTTCTGGCTCCATGGTTGGGAGAAACACTGGCTGCCAGGTTCCTGTAAATGAGAAATCAATCTTGGGTTAAAAACTTTAAAAACTAAATTACAGGATTTTTCATTAGAGAAACATATGTGAAGTTTGCCAAATATTCTGTTAGTATTAAAAATGAACTTCATTTCACTTCAATATTGAAGCTTTTTCTCTCTGATACTCAATACAATACTAAGAGAAACAATCACAAATGGTGCCTCAGAGTAATTATAAAATAAATAATTAACCTTTTCAATATCCTACTTTCACTTATGTCAGAACTTTAATGTGTTTGAGTCTGTGGGAGAAGAGGCAAATAATTGCTGTTGACTCGAGTTGGGATCTTACTGGAAATTTTTCTGATCTTTCTTTTCTTCTCTCTGCCCAGCTCCAGTGATAAACAGAATTACAAGACGAGTGTCAGGTAAGAATATGGTTCTCTCTTTTCATGTGGTTATTGGGAACAACCAAGTCCACGATTCACCATTGCCTGTAGCTCTGAGGCCCAACAGTCCACTCACAGCACCAAGTACTGGACAGTATTTTGTTGACTTGCGGACTGTCTTGTGAGGTGATGAAAAATGTCAACATTATTTGATGATTTTCTCATTATCCACTTGGTCTTATGGTGAAGGTACTTGTCCTTCCCATTGAGCACAGTATCTAAACATCTTTGCTACCCAGAGTCAGTGAATCTGTGTCATCTGCTAGAGATGCATTTATTTTTTCTTCTTTGAATACACACGTTCTTTTGAAAGTTTGTTTAAGCTTAAACCCTCTTAGCATGCTATTTTGGCCTTTAGATGGTTTAGTTACTGTTGCATTGTAATTTGCCATATTGTTTGACATGTGCAAATAAAAAAAAAATTGAATATTGCATAATTGACAAATAATTTAAAATATTTAATTGTATTGATTTCAAAATATTGTGGTTGAGAGACCATGGTGTTCAACAACAACTTATATTTATATAATGATCCTTGCCTTCATGTGGGGTAGCATCCCGGAGTGCTTCTGATCCCACTCATAACAAATTTATGAGGTCCATTTAAAATATGTGTGAACTGTGGACACACCTATCCAAGGCTTCCGGAGCTGACTGGCCAGCTATACAATGGCTATCTGCTGATTGCTGTTGCTGTCACTTCCTGAACATATGGATTCTATGGAACAATATCCCAGAGCCCCCTGACTCTCCGTCTCCCTCTGCATCTTCGTCACCTCTTTAAGGTCTGTACCACGACCTTCCTCTTTGACCACATCTTCAGTCATCTCCCCCACCTCTCCCCGCCACCCCGCTCGGGCAGCAAACCAGGACTATCTGTCGAGCCCCCTGGGATGTTTTCCTTTCATGAAATGCGATACATAACAACAACAACAACATTTACAATAAATGTACCCACCACAGGAAATGCCATGAGTAGTGACCTGATAACCTAGAGAAATATTTTTAATAGTTTTACTAGAGAGTTAGGAAGATTGTACAACATGCCATTCAGCTCAACTAATCCAGGCCAGTGATTAGATGTCACGCATGTCTCCTGTGTGGCAGGTGAGAATTCTACCACCTTGTATTGACACAGTTCTATTGTTATCAAGATGTGAGAAATATAACAATACATTTACTATATTACAGCAAACAGTTTTCAGAAACTTCAAACCACTCATAAACATTGTGTAAAACTCGGCCTTGGGATAACTCCTTCATCTGACCTGTATTAGTCGGGGAGCGGCAGCAGGACAGCGCGGGGAGGAGCCCGGGTTACTGACCCAGGTACTTAAACTCGACGCCGGAGCGAGTGCAGCCCCGGGGGGGGGGATGGTGTGGGGGCGGAGCGGGGGAACTGCGACGTCATAGATTAGTTTTCAGGTGAGTGCGCGCGCACAAAAAAAAAAAAAAAAAAAAAAAAAAACAAAACAAAAAAAAACCCTCTGCGCCCCCCCCCCCCCCCCCGGGCTCACATCAGAGCCCACTATGGTCCTGTTGGGTTCGATGCCCCAATCTGCGGGATAATGCCATCCACCTGACCGCTCGCTCCCGGTCCCCGCGTGCGCACTATGGCTGCCGCTTTGACCCGAGCCCCCTCACCCCCTCCCTCCCTCCCCCCTCCTCTCTCCCCCCAAACCCTCCCCCCTCTGCATCTCTCCCGCTCTCTCCTCCTCTCTCTCCGTCCCTCTCGTCTTCTATCCCCACTTGACCCTCCCACAACCTCCCTCTGTTCCAGTCTGGGAATCCTCCGCCGGGCTCACCGTGGCACTCGGCGTTGGCTGTCCAGCAGCAGCCACACCGACTGCCCCATTCCCCACCACTCTCGCCAGCCACCCCGGACACAGACCCGGGGAGTCAACCTCTCCTCCCTCATCCCCATCTCCCCCACCCCTGCCTCACAACCTGGACCCCCCTCCCCTCCCACACACCCTTCTGTCAACCGCTCCCTCCACATCGGACTGCAAAATGTCCGCTCCCTCTGCAACAAGGCCCTGGTCATCAACGATCTCATCCTTGATGAGAACGTTGATATCATGGCCTTGACAGAAACGTGGCTCACCCCAGGCGACACCTTCCCCCTCACGGAGGCCACGCCACCCGGCTACACCTCCCACCACATCCCCCGCCCCAACCGCCGTGGCGGTGGTGTTGCCCTTATCTCAAGGACACCACTTGCCCTCTCCCCCTACTCCACTGGCTCTTTCCCCTCCTTCGAGCACCTCACCCTCTCCCACCCCTCATTCCTCTCCCTTAAAATCCTCCTCCTCTACCGGCCCCCTAAAACCTCTCCCACCTTCATCTCTGACATTTCAACACTCCTCACATCTCTTTGCCTCTGCTCCGATCGCCTCATCATCCTGGGCGACTTTAACCTACACTTCACCCCCTCCTGCTCCATCTCCACAGACTTCTCTTCCCTGCTCTCCTCACTCAACCTTTCCCTACACATAAACTCCCCCACTCACAGTCACGGCCACCCACTCGATTTGGTGATCACCCGGGGCCTCAGTGTCTCGGATGTCACTATTACCGACAAGGCCATCTCCGACCACTACTTCATCTCCTTCACCACCTCCACCCCCCTCCCCACCTCCACCAGACCCACCACCATCTTCTACCGCCCTTGGAAGAAGTTACCCCCACAATCCCTAACCGATGCCTTGGAGTCCTCTGAACTCCTCTCCCTCTGGCCTTCAACCCTCACCGACCCCTCTTCTCCTCTCTCCCTCCTCCACAATATCCTCTCCTCCACACTCGATACTCTTGCCCCCATCACTTCCCGCACTGTCTCCTACTCCCGCTCCTCCCCCTGGTACACCACCCACCTCCGCTCACTGAAATGCCAGGTGCGGGCTGCTGAGCGCACCTTTGTCAAATCCGGCTTAACGGTCCACCGACAAATCTGGCTGGACCTCCTCAAAATTTACCGCTCCACTCTAGCCTCGGCCAAGTCGTCCTTCTACTCCAGGATAATCCTGGAGGCGAAGAACAACCCCAGGCTACTGTTTTCCACCACATCCCGACTCCTCCGTCCCCCCCGCCACCCCGCGCAGGTCATCTCCTCCAACCTTCACTGCGAGGAGATGCTGGATTTCCTTGAATCCAAGATCAAGGGAATCCGCTCCGCGGTCACTTCCCCTCCAACTTCCACCCACCACCCACCCCTTCCCTCCCACACTCCGACTCCTACCCATCCTCCCCTACACACCTTCGTACCCGTTTCCCCACCCTCTGTCACTGAACTCATCCTATCCCTAAAACCAACCACCTGCTCCCTTGACCCCATCCCCACTCCACTCCTTATCTCCCAGCTCCATTTTCTTGCCCCACACATCACTGACATCATAAACCTGTCCCTCTCCTCTGGCTCTGTCCCCATTCCATTAAAAACTGCCATCATCACGCCCACCCTGAAAAAACCCTCCCTTGATGCGTCGCAGCTATCAAGCTACCGGCCCATCTCCAACCTCCCCTTTCTCTCCAAGGTCTTGGAAAGAGTTGTCGCCTCCCAACTGCGCTCTTTCCTCTCCACCCATTCTCTTTTTGAACCCCTTCAGTCAGGTTTCCGTGCTGCTCATAGCACAGAAACTGCCCTGGTCAAGGTCACCAATGATATCCTGACCATCTGTGACCAGGGCTCCCTCTGTCTCCTCGTCCTCCTCGACCTATCGGCAGCATTCGATACGGTCGACCACACTATCCTACTCCACCGCTTGTCCTCCCACCTCAACCTTCAAGGCACTGTCCTTGAATGGTTTAGGTCGTACCTTTCTCACCGTCTTCACTTCGTCTCAACGAATGGCTTCTCCTCCACCCCCCGTACTGTCTCATGTGGTGTCCCTCAGGGCTCTGTCCTCGGTCCCCTCCTCTTCACCCTCTATATGCTCCCCCTTGGTGACATCATCCGCAAACATGGGGTTAACTTCCACATGTATGCGGATGACACCCAACTCTACCTTTCCTCCTCTACTCTCAACTCCACGACCACCGATGTCCTGACAGCCTGCCTGTCCGACATCGAGTCCTGGACGAGAGACAACTTTCTTCAGCTCAACGTGCAAAAAACCGAGGCCCTCCTGATTGGCTCACGTCAGCGCCTCCGCACCTCAGGCGCTGACACCATCAGCATCCAAGGCTGCACTCTCCACCTCTCAAAGCCAGTCAGGAACCTCGGCGTTTTGTTCGACCCTGAGCTGTCCTTTCTCCCTCACATCCGCACCACAACTGGCACCGCCTTCCATCACCTCCGGAATATCGCCAGATTACGGCACTACCTCACCCCTCACGCTGCTGAAACCCTGGTTCACGCCTTTGTCACCTCAAGGCTGGACTATGGGAACTCTCTCCTCGCCGGCCTTCCCGCCACCTCCCTCCACAAGCTGCAGGTCATTCAGAACTCTGCAGCTCGTGTACTGTCCCGCACCAGGCTTCGGGACCACATCACTCCCACCCTCGCTCGCCTCCACTGGCTCCCCATCCCCCAGAGGATTGATTTCAAGATCCTCATCCTCACCTACAAGGCCATTCACGGCCTTGCTCCCTCCTACCTCTCCAACCTACTATCCCCCTACCTACCTGCCCGTACCCTCCGTTCCTCTGGCTCCGGTCTGCTCCACGTCCCCCGCCCCAACCGCCCTACTATCGGTGGTCGGGCCTTCAGCCTCTCAGCCCCGAGGCTCTGGAACTCCATCCCCCAGTGCCTTCGCCTTGCTTCCTCCCTTTCCTCCTTCAAGGCCGGTCTCAAAACCTTTCTCTTTGACCGTGCCTTCAGCTCCCCTCTCGACTCTCTCCCTCCTCCTCGCTCCCTCCCTTCCCTCCCCTCACCCTGACCATTTCCCCCTCCTCTCTCTCTCCCTCCCTTCCCTCCCCTCACCCTGACCATTTCCCCCCTGCTCGGGTCATGACCCAACTGTGCAGCGCCTTGGGACGTCCTC